TATCGTAATGAAAACTGGGATGTTCCGAAAGTTGCAGTCCATGTTCCTGTAAGACTAGCGGAAAGAAAGATAACCATTCTTCTTTGTCAACATACAGATTGGAGAGAGCTTCGATGTTCAAGGTAGGACTGTCAAAGAATTTCTGACACATACGCAAGACCCATCTTTGACAAGTGCCCGCTCGACCCGGTCGTTNNTTGTTGATGTAAGGGACAAAGGAGTTGCCGAGCCATGTGGATATGACATGAGGTTTGGGAGTTTGGTCTAGGCCAAGCGGTTTCGAATCGCACGCTCGCACAGGGTAGGTACGGATTCAGGCGGCAGGTCCTACTAGACCGGCTGGGCCCTAAACCCATTCGCATAAACCCCAAAAAAGCCCTAAACCGGTCTTGGGGGTGAATGCTTCAAGCTTCTCGGGATCCCAAACCCTAAACCCTTTTGCTGCAGGCTTGCAACCAGGAATGCGGGTTCAAGATAGTTCAAGGCACGGGCGCTTCTGATTCACTTCATGGTCGGTACACTATAAGTTGTCTCTCATCGGTGTAGGGCTTCTGGATCACTATCCGGTCCAATTGGAGTAATTACGAACTGAGCCTCCCTGTTGTCTTCCTCCATGAACCCTAACATCACGAAGAACAAGCAAGGAAGCAATCCTGACCCGCAGACCCTCAATCCAAGCCCTACACTTTGTTGACCTGCAGCGATATATAGGCCAAGCATCCGATCTTGCATATCAGCTCAAATGCAACAGCTAAGCTGCCCCATCCAAATGGTTGTAGCTGCTTATAAAACCCCGTAGTGCTCTGAGACAAAAAAGAAGACTCAGCATGAACTCTAGATCTCACTGGTACCTATAGTCTCCATGGTAGCTCCTTTTCTGGTTTAACCAGCTTTGCAGTTCGGATCCTGTAAGGGCCATGGACTATAGGTACAACCCTCCGAGCCGAGAGGCGCGAAGCTCCCCTGTCGCGCTGGCCTCAAGAACTAAGCTTTGAAACCATAAAAACCCTAGCACACTAAGTCCCGAAGACTCTATCTATAGTCTCCATTGCGCATGACACCGCAGCTGTTGGTGGGATCAAAGCAGCCAAGGGCCAAAACAAGCTTCGAGTTCTTGAGGGTTGGAGTTTAGGACACCGTAAGCTTCCTCTCTTCTCTTGCTGCATGCGGATGCTTTGCTATAGCCAGCAAAGCCCTGAATCCAAAGACTCACACGTGTCTGAATGCAAGACCGCGGCCATGTGCAGCGCGGTGCCACCGTCTTTGTCGCTTTGGCTCGGGTCCACTCTGTCCTTCACGAACTCAGGGAATGGATCATGTGGTCTGAATATTTGTAGGATTCAACATCTCGTGCGAAAGCTGGCAAAGAAGATGTGTTGTCACGATGCTTACAACATACGAGGTCACATAAGTAGGTCTCTGTGGGAATGTATAGAGATCCAGGCTGACGACAGCACTGCTCTGGCGTTGCAGGTCCAAGACAACCCTTGCACCCCGAAAGAAAAATTGATGCAAACACAGGATGAGGGGAATCGTGGTGAGGATGGAATGGAGCCACGGACAATGATGGGCGAGTGTGGCTGAAATGACGACGATGGTGGTCAAGATCTGGGAAGGAGCATTTGACTGGTGTTGGCCATGGTAATCGTAATTACTGGATGCCACGAACAGGATTTCAGAAGGGTGGTGCTCTCGATCATGTTGAGGCTGATGGCTCCGAGTCATAGCAGCGCAAAGAAGCCCCTAAACATCAGTGCAAACTATAGCTATTGTTTCGAAGTCTACTGTGTGTCACTGCTCCGATTATTCACCTGATTTCTCCAAGCTTCTTCAAGCAGAGCCCGGACCACATCGGCGCGGCCTGTTTCCAACAAGTTCAGGGTTGAGGTTCAGGTTTAGGCGTAAGTGTAGTCTCAACGATGGGGTTTACGATCTCAGGCGTGATGCTCGTTAGACAGCTCACAGTCAGAACAAGTCTTGCAAGCACGATAGGCTTACAAGGGGGGTGATAAGGCAGGCACCTACTCACGGACATTCGGACTGTCCTCCAGTGCATACGGCAAGACAGAGTTCCGTTCTTGCCTCTGGCTGCAGCCTCATGGATGCCCGAACGCCCACGCTCCTCGTGAAGGAGTGGGCGGTCCACAAATCTTCAGTCAAACTGACTATATAAACATATGTAACATGTGTGCGCACATACTGTACCTTTCAGAACATGCAAATATGATTCGACACGTGTAGGGCCTGTTCGGCTTTGGGGGGTAGGAATCACTTTAAGCCGAGCCGCATCCAAGAGTCCTAGGTCCGCTCCAGCTGCCTGGAACATCGTGATTCAAGTGCTTTGGCCCCCAGGCCGAACTCACAGTTCATCAGACTTGTTTTGAATGGAAACCCTGCCTTACGGTCCAGCCAAAAAAAGACCCTGCTAAAATTTGAGGCTACTGAGATTTCCGGCCACTGTCATACAGAAGCCCTGACACTTCCCCTAACTTTGCCTGTTTGGGGGTGCCAAAAGAACATCTGAAGCCGCGGACACTACTGAAGCTAAACATGGCCACAACGCGCCTGAAGGCTTCCGAAGCCGGCCATCCGAATGCGGGAGGGCGGGTTGAGTCTTTTGGCTTAAAGTGGGCTGAGGATTTTGGGGCCTATAGGTCAACTCTCTGGATTTGAGTTGCCCGTGGGCCCTAAATCCTGAACCTTGACTTTGTCAACACTAAGCCCAAACCCCGATACTAAACCCCAAGCCCTAAAAACCTAAACCCTAAACCCCTCAACCCTAAACCCCGAGCCCTAAAAACCTACGCTGCCTGAAGCAGCCGGAGCATTTCAAGGTTCCCCATCCGACTGGCCGCAGTGACCGTCGAGAGCCCCCGGAGGAACGTAAAACCTCTCGGACTGGGGGTCTAGGGTTTAGGGTTTAGGGTCAGGGTCTACCTGTAGTCTCCATTGTAGTTCCTTTTTGGGGATACCTTATACAAAATCATTAATATATAGTTGGTTAAATCAAAAAAAGGAACTACAATGGAGACTATAGGTAGGGCTCGTAAGGTTTAGGGCTGCAGGGTTTATACGGCTTTGGGTTTAGGGCTTTCGGGGAAATAAGTCTTTAGGTGGCGACAGCCCACATAGAAAGCCCTTGGGGCAAGGATAGGGCTGACAGTTGTGCTTCTCGAGCGATGCTGTTGTTGCTGCTGTTGTTGTTGTTGTTGTTGTTGTTGTTGTTGGTGTTGTTGGTGGTGTTGGTGGTGTTGGTGGTGTTGGTGGTGGTGGTGGTGGTGGTGGTGGTGGTGGTGGTGGTGGTGGTGGTGGTGCTGGTGCTGGTGCTGGTGCTGGTGCTGCGGGTGCCGGGGCCGGTGCGGCTGGGGCTGGTGGTGGTGCTGGTAGTGGTAATGGTGCTGCTGGTGGTGTGGTGGTGCATCGAAGGATGCAATCAGCCGGATTCCTATGACCTATGCAGCTATGCAGATACCCTCTAAACTCTGTAGTGGAAGGCTGGGATACACTACTTCACCCACCCTTCAATCTTCAACCCTACGTCGAAACCGTCGCACACTTCGAATCCCGGACACAAATCCAACAAGCTTTCTCTTTGAAGCCAAAGCGGCGTGCAGGAAACATCATGTATGGTTCCTGGCCCTGTGCGAGGACGCCCTGCGAGCAGGCAGGACACTGGCACCCCGACAACCGCCGAAAACCAAAACCCTGACACAGTGCCGTTGTTCTGCGCGGCTGCGACAAGAACGCTGGACGCGACACGGCCGTTTGATACAGACACTTCCTGATTTGAGAGCAACGCTCTGCAAGCAAGCATGTTATGAGCCTGCCTGCTGAAGCCCGTAATTAATCCCTACGTCTACGAGCCCAATGTTAGGATCCCTATTCTAATCCTTGGTGAGGGAGGCAGGGTTCTACAATACCTGTACAGTCTCCACTATGGTCCTTTTTTGGGGATATCTTATAGGATCCTGAACTTACGGTTAAGTACACAAAAACAGAAACCCTAAACCCTAGGCAGCTTGCTAAGTCCACCTCCAACTGACCCAGGTCTTGCTTTGCCACTGCCGTCAGGAGCTCCTTCCGTGGAGGCGAAGATCCGGTCTTAGGGCGGTTTGAGGCTCATGGGGTTTCGGCTTTTTTTTGGGGGGCCCTGCGTGCTCTTCTGTGCGTGTGCGCTTTGGGGCCAACTCGAAAGACGATTTCCTCAACTGCCGATAAACTAGCACGTACTTCCAGTGAGGCCCAGGCCCTGCTAGGGGGGTCGCAGTGTGGTTCCAGCAATCCGAGAATAGGCATTTTGTTCGGACCTCTATCCAATATGGGAGCTGCATTCCTCTACGCCTTTACTGGTACAGGATACGATCTTTAAAGGAGCTTGCGAAAACTGTGGAGTGCATTAGGGTTTCGGTTTAGGGTTATAGCCAAATGCGGATGAAGGCTTCAATAGGTCCAGCTGCGAGCATGGTGTTGGAGGGAGTTTGGTCTAGGACTCGTCGAATTACATCATGCAAGCCATTTCGATTATGCTACAGTCAGTCCACGAACTAGTAGGCAGCAGTGCCGAGCATTACACCTGTAGTGTACCTGCAGGTGTCATAATCAGAACCATAGCACCACTGTAGAACAACACAGAAACCCAGTGTAACGAACAAATAGTGCATACGGCAGAGAGTCTGCAGCAGCAACATCACTCGTTGCCAAACGGTCAAAAACTACATCGACGGTGTAAACGGACGCACCATGGTACTCACAGCTGAGCCCTCCCTGCTTGTCCTGTGTGAGGTGGTGCCGCATGACCTTAAAGTCCACAAAGGCCGCCGCAAGCTCCTCTTTAGCAGGTGTGCGAACAAGGGTAGTAAGCCCTCGATGCTAGCTTGCTTAATAAAAGGCTGCAGGGAGATATGTATACTGAGAAGATTGCTAAGCTTGCTTCAACCGCAGGAGTCGCGCAATTGACCGACTCACAGTGCCACTTGATGAGCATCACCATGACGACTACAGTTATGGTAATTAAAACACATACTATCCGTGATCCTGACAATAGGCCGCAGGCTACCATGACCCTTACCATATGAATGTCCTCATGCTAGGATTACTAATCCTACGGAAGCTTCATCTTCTTAACATAAGCTTTCCCCCAATCTAAGAAGGAACGTTTCCAAGTCCGGCTCCCGTGGGCGCGTCAGGGACTCCCAGGTGTCGGTCTCTGAGATGGTGATCCTTATGTTAGGGTTTAGGGTTTAGGACAAGCCAGGCGAGGATCCGTATAGGGTTTAGGGTTTAGGATTTAGGGTTTAAGGGCTTTTTGCCAGTAGGGTGTAGGATTAGTGTGTACGACCCTAAGGGCCCTGAGGCTCCAGTTACCTAGATAGTGGGTTGCTGTGGATTCGATATGTAACCCAGTAAGGATATACAGTCAGGGCAACTGGAGCCCTCGGGTTAGTGTTGGCCTGGGAGACTGGTTTAGGGTTTGTAGGAGTTCGATCGTTTTAGTGGACTTTGGGGGGCTTGGGTTTGGAGGTTCGGGGATTGTATGTGCCATGTTTCTTCTAATCAAGCTCCGTCCCGAACCCTGAAAAACACGTAGAGCTGATGGCAGTCATTTCAGCTTGTAGCGTGGAGCTTGCTAGAATGGTTGGCATGGCCCTTGTAATTTCCATGGTAAGTACCTTCGGACCTCACAACAAGCAGTGGCTTCTTCGCAGGCACTACAGGGTCTCATGTCTAAACTTTTTCAACTTGTGAAGCGATTAAACAAGGCCATGTAGCTAGGCCAAGTAGCCCATGTGTCTTTGTGGAATGCGGTTGAACCCCTCGCACCCCAAACCTCAACAGCTACAACCCGTCCACTTCAAACCGAGAGCCCGCAACCACACCGCATCCCAACTCGCTACAACTGCTGCCGCCCATATCACCTATACCAGCAGATCCACTAAACCAAATGCTCCCCAAAGACGCTTAAACTTAAAAACGGAACCTGCAGAAATCCTACACTCCAACTTCTACAGTCCGCGCCAAAAGGCCTTCAAATTCTGAACCCCCCCGAAGAAGGCGCTTTCAGTCATAGACTCGACCCGCAAAGCAGCTGCAGCTTGAAGACGGGGAAGCCTTGCTCACGCAGCCGAGCCTGAAACGCACAGCTGTGGGGGAGCTAGGGTTTAGGATGATGCAAGTCCCTGAACCGAGGCCTTGCGAGTGTGTTGCTCTTGCTGTCGTAATTCTCATGGAGCTACTAACAAGAATGAGCAAACCGCGGTACCTTCAGTGCAATCGCTGTAGGTCACGGTTTTGATTTGATATTGCCTAACGTGTTTCTTGTTAATTTCAGTGTGATTTCGCTTGGATCTCTCGCTGCCCTACCGACCTGCGGACCAGCACAAACCAATAAAACACACAGCCGCAGACTGGAAGGACACCAAAGCAGAAGGTAACGCAGACATGGAGCAAATCGCAACATGTTTGAAGGCATAAACATGACTTGCAACCTCAAAATGCCTCCTTTCTGCTTCCCTACAACTCATAGACTTTCCTAAAAGGCGGATGCTAAACCCTTTCCTTCACATGGTCGAGCAGAAAGCCGTCGGCAACCACGCTCTGCTCCTCGGACAGCAGAGTCTCTTTCGCAGGTTTCAGAACATGGGTGTTCTCGAAATATTAGGGTCCCTTTCTAGGTCCCCAATATGGTACGCCACCCTTATCAAAAGGAATCTAAAAGGGACCCGAATTTAGCCACATGTTGGAGCCCAGGGCTTCAAGAGCTTCGGTGCTTCCTGGCCCCCCGGTCACCAAGCAAGTAAGTAACCCAGGTGTGCGCACACAAATCTGCCAAAAAGGTCCCACTAAACCCCATTCAATGGACTAAGGCCCCTAGACGGAACAGGGATGAACGGCACGTCGTAAAGGGGAATAGTGGTCCTGCTCTGGTGGCGGCCTCTCTTGAAGGTTTGAAGCCCCAAGTTTGCAAACATGAAGCACAAAGGGTTGAGGTTTTTTTTCTCTCTCGCATGGCAGAGAACAAAGCTCACAAGCGAGGTTGAATATAGGCAATAGTCTCTCTCAGAAGTTTTGTGCAATCCCGAAGCTTGCAGAGAACCAAAGACCTATAAACCACACTCCAAAACCACAGCATACAAAGATAACCCAGAACCCAGGTTCTCTGCACTTCAGGCTACATCTTGTGTTTTCAGAGCTTTCTCATCTTTGAGAATGCATGAAGGGTTTAGGGTTGAGGGTTCAGGGTTGATGATTTAGGGCCCAAGTACTGGTACTGGCGAGATGATCTTCCGAAAGAACTCAACAGGTAAACCTAGTAAAAGACTAGTGTGGGCGAGCTTACCAAGGCGCGTTACACTTTGAAAGTATAAGGGTCACAGGGGGTTGTTTACAAGCACTAGACTAAACTAAGTAGTGTGTGCGCGCATCCGCGTTTTAGGATATTTTCGGGCCAGGTCCCAGCCTCACATCCTGAATTTACTGGCTGCATCTCGACGCTACGAGGGTAGTGGAAGTATTCCCAATTGACGGGCATAAGTCTTATGGCTCCTCACATGGACACTGAGCCCCGAAATCTACGAATGTGGCTACTACAGAGGGTCTTACGTTTGCACCGCACTTGGCATACACCCTAGGCCCTAGACCTGTAACTGCACTTTGTTACACCGTCTCATTCCGGAACATTCCTGCAGCCCTCAAGAACGATTTCGGGTAGTCTCAAGCTTTCCTGCTTGGCTAGATACCAGTAAGTTCTCATGGGGCTTCTTTTTGAAAAAGCATGGGTTTTGCTGAAGCGGATGTCGTTGCGCGTAGATCCTGCGCAACAGAAAAGCCTTCAAATCCAAGATTCGAGCTCAGCAGCGATATCGCCCGAGACTAGCCGAACCTGAAAAGCTCGGACCCGGAGGCGCTCTGGCTCTGGGTTTGCTTGGCTGTTGGTCTTTGAAGGGTTTATGGCAACCTAAGGAGCATCTTCGGCTATCGGGCTCCCCAGCTACAGCATCTTCCACCACCAAGATCTGTAAGTAGACTCAAGATCAGAGAAAGTTGTGCGCTGCCACGGAAGCTGCACGTTCCCGCCATGCTCTCACAGCAAACCTGCCTGCTGCCTGCTACGAACATGTCAGGCAGAACCCTTGAAATCGCAATTGCCCTCACCAGCAAGACCAACAGCAGCAGCGACAAACCTGACTGCCATCGCGACAAAAACCAAGAATCCCAGAAACCCGTCACCTGAATTCTCACAGCTCATCCTGAATCCAAGTATCAAAGACCCACAGGGCCGGAAGTGCATGGAAGGCGAGGGCTTAGTAGACTAAACGCTTAAAACAAGGCTAGACTCAAGAAGAACTGTCGGGACATAGAAGGTGTCTCTGTTAAACCTGAACAAATCCTGCGAACAAAATAAACCCCCATGAACCTGAATGGAACGGCAAGATGTGATCATCCGCCTTCACGGTGGGTGTTCTCGTCGGAGTTCTTGTCGCCGAGTTGGCACGGAGAGCCATGCGGGCTTCAGGAGGACCCGGCTCGGGGCTTACCGGATTTGCATGAAACACACTTTAGGGTTTAGGGTTATACGGCTCTTTCTTTAGGGTTTAGGGTTATACGTTTTTTTCTTTAGGGTTTAGGGTTATACGGTTTTTTCTTCAGGGTTTAGGGTTATACGGTTCTTTCTTTAGGGTTTAGGGATGACGGATGACGGTTTAGGGTTTAGGGTTCAGGGTTATACAGGAGCCCTGGTTGAGGGTTGAGGGTCAAAGGGCTCCTGGGGGGCAGTGTCATCAACCTAAATGGACACAAAGCGCGTGGCATCGTCCGGATAGGACTTAAGTGGGCAGGTTGTGTAACTAATGTATGGTGCTGGTACTGCGAGTCTGCGTTGCGTTGTCATTGCCAGGAGTCCCGTCCCATGTAATTAGTCGCTATTGCTTCAGCTGAACTTAAATTCTTCATGTTCCAAATACAATCACTGGATTTGAGACAACAGCGTATGCGAGTGCACCAACTTCGGCACAATACTTGCCACGTTGCGTGGAGAAGCTGCAACAGAAAAGCGTTAGATGAAGACCAACCTCAACGCTCGAGATTGGACGCGTAAGCCAACTTGAAACCCCAAATCTCTGCGACAGGCCGAGCACCGTGCGTTCGCATCAGCGCCTGGATGGCTGCTTCTGCGTTGTGCGCCTCGACGTCTCTGCAAGGTCTTGGGTAAAAAAGTGGCCTTTATACTTAGAATAGGGTTTTGGGGCCCATTATACACTATAGGTATGATAAGGAACCCCCAAAATAGTATTGGGAATAATTTGGGCCCCTACATTGTGCTATGGACTTGATTGACATCCACAGCCAAGTTTCGCAACGCAACTGCAGGAAACACATGCAAGGCCCATGCCTGAGGGCTATTTTTTACGGTATAAAGCAGGTTCTTGACTCTCTGGTGCAGCCATTCAAGCCCTTCGGAGTCCCGCCAATGCAGCTGCTCAGACTTTCTGCTGTTGCTGAGGTGCACAACGGTTACCAACTATTTCATAATGCCGCTCTGGGCTGGTATTGTGACATTGTGTCGTCAGAAGGTAATGACTACAACATGTCTTCATTAGGACTTGTCGACAAAATAAGAAAAAGCCCTCGGTGCACGCGTCTGCATAGTTGTTTATCCCCTAAGAGTATAATCCTTTTCAGTAGTCATGCAGAGTACAATCTGCGCCAACACCCTATTCTGTTTAGTCCCGCAGTACTTATCGATTATCGGAGAAGCCGGCAAGGTTCCCTGCAGTGCTGTGACCCAGGCAACAGCAGGCCGGCGGCAATATCTCAGCAGCATCCACTTATCATTTCCATACCTGTCGATTCTCTGCAGCTGTCGAGGCATTGGCATCGAAGGAAAGATGCAACACTTCAGATTTAGGGCTGATGGGGTTGTACTCGAATGCTGGCTTACATTCGGATTGTCTGTCGGTTGAACTATGGAGACGACAAAGTTGCATCGAAAACGCCCTCATGCGCAGTGCAGTTGCATGTGCTCTGCGGCCCTGCACGGGGCAATAAGTATCTGCTGTCCCCCGAACAACCTCTGGCTTTGGACTCATCTAGGAATGCTTCGAAGGCAGTGAAGCAGATGGCACGGCATAGGCTTCCACCTCGGTTGCGTAACAGCATTCCAGGCTCAACCTCTCGCAATTCCGAAAACCAGTCGATGACACAGGCGCACTGGAAAAGAAGGGACACCAGCCCAAGCAGTGGTGCCAGAGGCATCAATGGCGCATAGATCAACTCAGCACATAGGCAGGGCGTAGGATATTGGACTTTGGGGATTTGGCCGGCTAAGCCTCCTGGGAGCAAAGAATAGCTTGATGCAAGTAGTCGCTGCAACAGAGCACGTTTGACAGCATCAACACGTCCAGAATAAGCGGCAAGCTGCGGCTCTCTGAGTAGAATTTCCAGAAGGTCTGTCGAGGTCTGAGAGCCTGGCGCAACAGAAGTACCTGTCAGGGACCAGGTCTGCGGCCTCGAAAAATCGAGTCCCTTCCTGGAGTTGCTTATCTTGGACAGGGAAGTCACCTACAACCAGCAGCATGTGGGATTCGCTTCCTTCCCGGACTCAATTCAATACCCTACCATCACCCTACGATGGTCGCAGTACATCTAGAGCTTCGATGTGCTTCGATGTTTGAGGACTAACTAGATCTGGCTGCCCAGGAGATGGGAACTCCAGGGTCATCAGGGCACGTCTTCTCCGCATTCGCATAATGCCGCGGGAGGTCCATAATCGTCGGCTCGAAGCAGACCTGGTCATGCGCTGCTGCGGGAGCTAGGACACGCGAGGGTATATGGAATAACCGAAGAAAGCAGGGTTTTCCTAAAAGCTTCGCGAAACAGGACGAAGTGGTTTACATATATAAGCAAAATAGCAGCAAGATGCAACCACCTGGCATGTCGAAATAATTAGACTCAAAAACTCCCAGAATGTTCTGTTCTGGACTACTCTGCTCTGATTCCTGCCTGGTCACGCCTGGTCGAGCGAAAACACTGGAACGGATAACAAACACTTTAGAAGCGGATGGTCATATACTACCAGTCCGAACAAACAGGATAAATTTCGCATCGCTCTGACGAACTAGCACAGCAGCCTCCAGCAGATTTCAGGATCGACTGCCACAAGTTCAAGAAAGTGTCATCTAGGCCTATATTCGTCTACCATCCAGAAATCAAACGTCCTGACAACTCACAAAGACTCAAGTCCGGTTATCAACTTCATACTGAGGCAGAAACTAGCTGCTCCATGCATCCAGCCCTAAACCCTAAACCCGTGAACCCTAAACCGATGAACCTGGGTCTGAAGTACGGGTAGGGTACAGAGAAGGCCCTGGCATGTCGGGTCGAGCCCCATGGTCTCCTAGGTGACGGCGCCATTCCCCAAAAAGGGGTAATATCGGGGAATAGAGTTTTGGAGCCCATTATACTATAGCTACTATAAAGAACCCCCTCCCTAGATTACCCCCAAGGAGAGTCAGCGAGAAAGCACCCTGTATACCCTGCAATAAAGCTTCAGTAGTCTGTAGCCCAGACCCCGAACTTCGACGAAGTCTTGGAACTGAGTGCTA